CGTGCTGAAAAAAATACAATACACGGTTATTGACTAAAAAACAATTCACTTAATAGCCCTTTGTGTAAGACAATGCTGAATCGTGTTGTATATTTAATGTAAGGGTTCATTATGATGTTTATGTGGGCACGAGACACAGATACCAGTTAAAATTGCTCCTTTCAAATCTGTCTAAGCGAGGAATTGTTTCATGAAAGCCGAGCTTAAACTCGAAATTCCAGGTACTTCAGATTAAAAAACCGGCGTTGCAAGAGAAGAATGATCTAAGAGCAAGTTTCTTGAGACATGCATCGACGAAACAAAACCAAAACAATAAACTGAGCGAAGAGTGGTAATTGCATTGGTTAGGTGATGGAGGAAAACGTGCCCGATTTTTCCAGATGAACGTGCAAAACAAAGCCAAAGAATTACGAATAGTCGATCTTTTTAAAATAGTACAGTATTCCCTCTTTTGATAAGTCAGTTTTGTTAAACAAAGATGTATACCCCAGTCTCATATTGCCCATAATACATCTTCGTTACCCTTCAAATTTTCCTAAGCATTGCTTTCAATTCCTCTTGGACAACTGTAGTAACCCAGGTGAAATGAGGTCGCTGGATGGCTGGATCGATGGATCACTGGATCGCAGGATCAGTAGATCGGTGGATCATTAGATTGACAGACCGGAAGATCGCTGGATCGGTGGATCGCGGGATAGCTGGGTCGCTAGATCGCTAGATCGCTGGATCGCTGGATCGCTGGATCGCTGGATCGCTGGATCGCTGGATCGCTGGATCGCTGGATCGCTGGATCGCTGGATCGCTGGATCGCTGGATCGCTGGATCGCTGGATCGCTGGATCTACTGATCCACCGACCCAGCTATCCAGAGATCTAGCGATCCAGCAATTCATTGATCCAGCGATCCAGCGATCAAGCGATCAAGCGATCTAGCGATCCGGCGATCCAGCGATCTACCAATCCTGCGATCCAACGATCTACCCATCCACCGATCCGTCGATCCAGCTATCCAGCGATCTAACGATCCAGCGATCCAGCGATCCTTCGATCTAGCGATCTAACGACCTAGTAGTCTAGCAATCCAGCGATCTACAGATCCATCGATCCATCTATCCAGCGATCCAGCGATCCAGCGGTCCACCATTCCACCGATCTATCGATCCAGTGATCCAGCAATCCAACGATCCCGCTATTCTTCGGTCTAGCGATCCAGCGATCTAATGATCCACCGACCCACCGATCCATCGATACATCGATCTACTGATCCATTGATCCATCGATCCAGCGATCCAGCGATCTAGTGATCCAGCGATCCAGCGATCCAGCGATCCATCGAACCAGGGATCCAGTGATCTAGCGATCCATCGATCCATCGATCCACCGATCCACCGATCCACCGATCCATCGATCTAGCGATTCACCGATCGCTGGATCGCTGGATCGCTGGATCGCTGGATCGCTGGATCGCTGGATCGCTGGATTTGTGGATCGGCGTATCGATGGATCGGTGGATCAGTAGATCGAAAGAAAGGTGGATCGCTGGATTCATGGATCGGTGAATGGATGGATCAGTAGATCGCTGGATCTCTGGATCTCTGGATCGATGGATCGATGGATCGGTGTATCGGTGGATCGGTGGATCAGTAGATCGAAAGAAAGGTGGATGGCTGGATCCATGGATCGGTGAATGGGTGGATCAGTAGATCTCTGGATCTCTGGATCGATGGATCGATGGATCGATGGATCGGTGGATCGGTGGATCGGTGGATCGGTGGATCGGTGGATCGGTGGATCGGTGGATCGGTGGGTCGATAGATCGCTGGATCACTGGAACACTGGAACGCTGGAACGCTGGATCGCTGGGTCGATGGATCGGATGATCGGTGGATCGGTGGATCAGTAGATCGAAAGATGGGTGGATCGCTGAATCACTGGAACTCTGGATCGCTGGGTTGATGGATCGGTGGATCGGTGGATCGCTAGATCGGTGGATCGCTGGATCAGTAGATCGAAAAATGGGTGGATAGCTGGATCGGAGGATCGCCAGATCGCTGGAACGCTGGATCGCTGGATCGATGGATCTGTAGATCAGTAGATCGCTGGATCGCTACATCGGTGGATCGCAACATCACTTGATCTCTGGATCGCTGGATCCATAGATCGGTGGATCGGTGGATCGCTGGATCGATGGATCGGTGGATCGGTGGATCGGTAGATCGATAGATCGCTGGATCGCTAGATCGCTAGATCGCTGGATCATTGAATCGCTGGATCCCTGGATCGCTGGATCGCTAGATCGCTAGATCGCTGGATCGCTTGATTTGTGGATCGGTGGATCACAAGATCGCCGGATTGCTGGATTGACGCTGGAACGCTGGATCGGTGGATCGAAAGATGGGTGGATCGCTGGATCGGTGAATCGATGGATCGCTGGATCGCTGGATTGATGGATCGGTGGATCAGTAGATCGCTGGATGGATGGATGGATGGATGGATCACTGGGTTGATGGATCGATGGATCGATGGATCGGTGGATCGGTGAATCGGTGGATCAGTAGATCGGGGGATCAGTAGATCGAAGGATCGGTGGATCGATAGATCGCTGGATCGCTAGATCTCTGGATCGCTAGATCGCTGGATCGCTGGATCGCTGGATCGCTGGATCGCTGGATCGCTGGATCGATGGGTGGACGTTTATGCAAAAATTTAATAGGTGAAGTTTGCTTTTCTCCGACAAGGTTCTGTACTTGGACCCTTGTTGTTTCTCATTTTTATAAATGACCTACAAGAATGCGAGCTGTCATCATCTGCACTCATGTATGCTGATGACACCTCCCTTACCCTTTCCGCTTATGACCCCGCAACTCTTCAAGAAAAGTTAAACAAAGACTTGGATGAGGTTCAGAAGTGGCTGAAATCCAATAAACTCACATTAAATGCCAAAAAGACAAAATATATGATAATTGGAAGCCACTACCGACTAAGGTATTTAAATGGTGACTTAAACGTTACTGTTAATAGTCAACAATTGACTCGGGTGACTAATTATAGATATCTGGGAATAGAGGCATTGGGGTGGCAATCCCATGTATATACCATCTGTAAAAAGGTAACTGCAGGTACAGGGGCCTTAAAACGTATTCGTTCCCTGGTGCCTCGCCAAACCCTACTGAAAATTTATAATGCCTTAGTCGCTCCTTGTTTTGATTACTGCTCCGAAGTCTGGGGATGTATGGGAAAAGGCCTGTGTGACAGACTCCAGAGATTGCAAAATAGGGCTGGGATAATTATGACATTTAGTGATTATAATACAAGATCTGCGGATATCCTCCAAGACTTCAGATGGGATGCCCTTGAGCAAAGACGCTCTAAACAGCTCGCAATAAGTGTTTTTAAATCTCTAAATAACCTTTACCCTGAAAGTTTAAAGAACATGTTTAAACCAATCTCCAGGGTTCATTCCTACAACGTGCGAGGTGCCTCGAACGACATTTTTGTACCAAGGCCCCGTACTGAAGCTGCTAAGCTGGCTTTTAGCTATAGGGGAGCAGTCATGTGGAATGGCCTAGAAAATGTGCTTAAAGAAGAGATAAATCTCAACTCTTTCAAGTCTGCCCTGTCTTTGTCTTGAACCAGGGATTGCCTTGAGGGAGTTGAGATAGAGTTTATTTTAGTTATTTAATGTACCCTTATTAAGGTTGATTGATTTTTGTGTAATTAATTATAGGATAGATTTTCTTAATATATAGATATATTTTAGCATTAGTGTAGTTTATCTGAAAATTTTGTTATGTAAACGGCACACTGGAAGAGCATTTTTAATGAAGTCATACCGATACCGTTAATAAAGCTTGATTGATTGATTGACTTGATGCGCACTATGATAATAATAAATTGTGGCAGGTAAAAGCTGAGCAGAAGTTGTTTTAATTAGTTTAGGAAATTACCGGGGAATATAAGTGCGTGTAAAACGTTTGGCTGGAATTTCATGCGCGCGATACAAAACAAAGCCAAAGAATCAACGAGCAGAAAAAACTTCAGCTGATCTTTAGTACGTGACAATCGTTCTTTACGATAAATCAACGGACAACTGTTTGGAAAGCAGATGTTTTCAGGCGGGAAACGCTCAACGCCTTTTCTGATGGAAATACAGTAAGACCAGCTACTAACCTAAGAACCTGTTTAACCTAAAATTTGAAACGTGGTCTTCTTTTCTAAAATCTATAAAAAACATTTTGTACTCTTGAGCAAATGAGATAAATCAACATGCGTTCAGGATCCTCGCTCTCTGGAGACATGCGTCCTATCCCTTCAACTGCAATATAAGGGTATGCAGATAATATATGAGGAATAAGCTGAAGACCACTTAATACCCTTAGCTATGATGCATTTTTCCCCTCAGAAAAAAGAACCTATTTAAGAACTTAAACAGCCTAAATCTGTGCAAATCACCATTTCTGTAAGAACCTGTTTAGGCCAATTTGGAAAAATGCAGGTTCTTAGTCGCGGGTTTTTACTGATCACAAGCGAATTTTGGATTTTAAGATACGTTAAAGAATCTCCCTGTTGTTGCAAACATTGAGATTAAGGCCCAGCATCCCCACCTCTAAAAAGAAAACAATCATATGCCAGTAAATCACCGTCAAGACTTGAATTATCATATAAACACCAATGAAATATCAGGTGAGCTTTCGCGCGAAAACATGATGTCTTCACACGTGAAAATAACATGTTATCTTTACTTGTGAAAAGATCACCGTTGCTATGGCTACATAATTAACCGCGCCTTTCACACCAAAAAAACTATTAAAGTGAAATGGCTTGGTATCTCATTGGTGTTTAAATAATAAATAGAACATTACATGGCCGCTTGGAGATACGAAATTTCTCTTCTTTTGAAAAAATATTTCACGAGCGAGCGCAGCGAACGAGTGAAATGTTTTTCAACACTCGATACATATCCTCTATGTATTTTATAAAGTTTTTATTTTCAAACAAATTCTCCTGTTTAGCACTAAAAGAACTGTACCAAAGACCCTATGAATAATATACATGTTCCAAAACGATTGTAGAAAAAGTGTATTTGACGTTCTTTTAGTTAATCGCGTTAACTTCCTCTATAAAATTTCCCTTTGATTTTTCTTCGGAGAAGATAAGTGTTCACATCTTTTCCTTACATGAACACGTGTAAATTGAACAGCTGGAATCGCATTCGAAACCCGCGGGACAGCAATGTTTCCCGTCCCCACACGGGACGGCTTGCGGTGTAAGACAACACCCTTGTCCTGTTGAAGAATACAACGAGTCGCAGCACGTGGAGTTGTAGGGGCAGACTGTAACTACCTTGCCAGTCTTGTCTGTACAGGAAACAACAGGTTTGTCTGTTATCTGAAAAAAAAATGAAGTTTGCTGTAAACTTACGGAAGCTATTGCAGACACCATCGCCAGCGCGAGCTATAGTGGCCACTTCGTAAAGGCGAGGTTCGAGAAGAAACGTATTTAAAAACCTTTGCACTAGAGAAGTATAAATATTCAATTTCTTCGGTTTAACCTTGGCATAAGTACCAATCCAAGAAAAGGAAACATTTAGTCAGACTTGACGCCGGAAAATATATTCAACAAGAGTTAGAAAGGAAAAAAAAATGTGATGTTGGGAAGGCAGGAAAAAGTGTCGGTAAGTCTGTAGTGGAAAGAGTCTTTTAAAACAGGAGTTGCTCTAGCTGCTGTTTGTTTAAGAGCTAAGTAGGTTATGAGCTTGGAAGCATTTTCAGTGAGTAATACAACATTTTTTTAATCTGGCTATCTTATCATGATATAGAAATTTCGCAGATCTCGGAGGTTGCTAAAAGCGGAACATAATTTTTCAAATCAAACTCAGATTCTTCCAATAATTATTATGTAGCGGGTAGTTAGGGTAACTTCTTAAAGAAAACAGTTCTCACCAATGATTTTGCTCTTTTCTGCGAGCAAGAATTTGCCAGTTTCCTTTGTGTGATGTCGTCAGTGAATTGAGAATTGTTTCTCGGTTTCTTGGGGATAATATTGTCGTGTAGGCCCTGGAAGAGATCTTGGATCAGGTCTTTTATTCTCTCACTCAGGTACTCGTACCCCTGACTCGTGTAATGGGGGCTCGGTTGTTTGTCTGCAATAAGACAATGTAGGTATGGTGGATCACCACACGCTTCTACAACCCAAGTATACAGGTCAGCGGTAGCAATTGCAGGCTCTTCATTCATCACATCGCGTGCTATAATATTGTACTGTTTGACGCGATTATTTAGGGTGATGTTGTAGGGTACTGGCGTCGTAAGAACATATCCAACTTTGGCCCTCGTCGAAAGAAGTATTGACTTGATATCTGCGAGATTTTTAGCGTACGCCACTGGAGCAACATGCTCCTCTGGAAAAATACCGCCATAGCTGATGTCGTGCAGGCCGAAATTGAAGATGATGACGTCATAACTCGTTGGCTCCAACATGGCGGTAGACAGAAACAAATTAAGACATTGAAGACCATATTTAGAGTCGAGAGCACCTCCGTCCGAATGATCCCAAGGAGCATGCTGGACTTGATAGTCGGGACCAAGCATTTTAGCCACCCAAGGAGTGTAACTATAAAAACGAAAAGAGAATGACAGTCAGATGTCGTGTCCCTATGCATTAAAATCCGTATCACGCAGCCTCGTTCAGGCCAGTTCGCGCTATCCGAGTGACCAGAAGAGGCTTGGGACCGAGTAATAAAAGATTAAATTAGCTGCAAAAACCGTGGACGAAGATCCTGCTAGTTGTTTAACGTTGGATCTCTAGAAAAGAGATCAAATCAGCCAAAATATAAAGAACCAAGAACAAGAAGTCCAAAGACTACTGCAAAGCTAATTTAAAACAACGTATATTGTTTTATTTTGTACGTCATTTCCGCCTCTCCCTTTTATTGCGACATTCTCCATTTATATAATATTGTGATTGCTACATAAGTTCAGTAACATCTGTAAACCTGAAGAAGGCTGGTATGGCCAGCCGAAATATTGTTATAAAAAACAATATACGTTGTTTTAAATCAGCTTTGCAGTAGTCTTTGGACTTCTTCTTCTTGGGACCGAGTAAATTTTCCCCACAAGCTTGACAGGTGACGTCACATCCGAAATCGCCGAGGACAACGGGGAATGAAGCTGCGTATCACGAACGTAATTAAAACATGCAGTTTCTTTGTAATAGTGTTCTTACAATCCCATAGCCCGCGTCGCAGAGGTAATTCAACCTTGGTTAGTAACGTCTGCGAAGCAGTGCCTATGTTCTTGTTCTGGGCTCCAAACAGCGCAGGCTAATACTCCCAGTGGACTCATGTCGTTTGTACATTTAGACCGTTAATGTTTCTTTTCTTTTCCTTCTTTTTTTTTCTCAAAAGCGATCTGAAAAATGAAGAGTTCTTAAATGGATTTATACTACTACGTGAGAAATTTCTGCAATGTGATTGGCTTAGAGCAGTGGTATTTCAGCTTAATTTGAAATACCTACATGTGATAATTACAAACCTTTTGCTGGTAGTAGTATAAACAAATAATAGCATTTTTTGTACGTGATATTTGGCGTAAATACCACTCGTGACGTATAACAATTTTGAAATATCACTCGTGGTTTTTATGCCACATATCACTACAAATCATGCTATTACCTATACTAATTGCGCTAGTTTTTGCAAAAAATGGAGAAATCATGTTTTAACTTTGGTTAAAACATCTCAATACCTATGCAACATACAAGTAAACGGAAAACACGTCTACCCTGTTTCCATCATTCTAGTAACTTCAAGAGCGCATAACTCATAGTCTGACGACTATAGAAACTGGAACAATCAACAACCAGCACGCGGACGCCATTTTGGGTACCCAATCTAGTTATGCTCAGGCGGTGTGCGTCAGGGCCCACAAAGGTTCATGGGTAAAACTGTTACTGTGCCTCATTTCAATCGTGACACGGTCGAGAGAAATGAATCAGACCCAGGGATCAAAACACTGCTGCCTTTTCCGAAAAACATTTCTGAAGAGAGCGATTTCGAGAATTTTCAAGATCTCATAGTGGCCTTAGATGCTTGCTATTGGCTTCATAAGGCAATTTCAAGAAGTTTATCGCGATTCGGAGACGATCGTGCGACCTAGCCGACTTTGAGCGGCGACTAATTTCCTGCTTCTCATAAGATTTTATGCACTGTTTGGTTTATATGTATGTTTTTATCTCATAGTGAAAGCGATCTGTAGTTCATACCTGGATTTGCTTTACTGAAAAAAAATTCGTCCATTAGAAGTGTTTATATATTTGATGGACTTTGTTACCGGCATTAAGCAGGGGGAGCGCGTGCAAACAGCAAGGTGAGAAATCGTCTCTCATAACAATTTTATTTTCATCGACAAGTTTATTATTTTTTGAAAACAGTGCCCGTTTGAAATCCTTATGCGCAAATAAATCTTCTATCAGGCAAGGGGAAAACAGACCGAAAGAGCCGAACAGCTTCAGCACAATCGGAATTTCACCGAAGCTACAGCCGCAGAAATAAACAGTGAAATAAACCACTATCTTGTCTGTGCGGTCATTGAATGTGTCGTAGATCATTTCTAGTGATTTTGTCACTTAAACTTACCTGTAACACTGATCTCGGGCAAAATGGGTGAATGATTAATAAAAGGAAATTTTGTTCTGCCCATTTAGCCAAAAGTCCAAATTATTCAAGCAGTGCTTTTTTTCGTAGATGAAAATTATGCTCGTAATGATGAAGAATTATGCCAAAAATTATGCAAGCACAATCTAGCAAAGCCTATCTAGACCGGACTCAGACCAAAATAGCTGTACACGTTATCAAATGTAGACGTTTCAGCTGTGAAAGTCTCTGGTCGTGGGCTCTTTTAGCCGGCATAGCAGGCGTATTTTGCCCATTTTGCTGTGCGATCGATTTGGACTTTCAAACTGACCGAGAGTTGGGGCGAGTCAAAATATGATTCCAAGGGAGAGATTGCTAGTCTGCTACACAGCCGTTTTTAGAGTCGTCACGCAACGCTCCTCCCCACTAGAAGCTTTGCGTGACGACACTAAAAACGGCTGTGTAGCAGACTAAGAGATTGCCTGCCCCACCTCCATGTATCTCTGAGTCACTTTTTTCTTTTTTTAACGCCTGGCCCTTCAATTTTCTCTCTATATCTGATCACTTGATATATCTTTCCGCCGAAACGGCTCCAGTTCCAAGGAGTTATCGGGCAATGGCGCCCTGATATGGCGTATGCTCTCCTTTCCCCACCCCTAGCACTCGCATCTCCTTTCTCGTGCGCCCCTCCCATGACTTCTCGCGACTCCCCCTGTAGGGAGCTTGCTCATAGGCTATGGTCTAGCGCCAGTCTGCGCCACAGATGAAACTAAACTCTGGTTACTAACCAAAGTTAAATTACGTCTGCAAGGTTGGCTAGCTATGGTCCCTAGTGCCTTAAAAACTCCGAGGTCTGAGGACCTGTTTATATGAAGTGAGCCATAGCCGGGCTGGCACGCTTAACCGTTGTGTTTTACATGAGAGTGCCGGTTGACCCGCATGCCTAGGCCTCTGCTCGAGCAACCGGGATCCAAACTGGGCTCGCTCACCCCATGTAAACAGGCCCTGATGCCTTACTCTTCGTTCGAACTGTCACGTAATGATTTTTCCAGTCAAGGTCAGATCGAGAGCTTCTCGAATATCATTAGAAGCAATTTTCTCAGCTCTCGGTTTTTTTTTGCGATGCAGATCTTTTTCCTGCGCTCCTAGCTGTCCACGTTCAAGTGAATTAGAATGAAAGCCGTTTTTTTCCTTGGCAAGGGCTCTGCTTGAACGGAATTGAATTGAAACGTCTGCAATTTCCGCCCCCTGATAACACCATTACGTTTATAATAAGGACACAAGGTGAAACTCCCGTCAAACTCCGTCGGCATTTACGGGATTACACGTTGGTCCCAACGCTGAAATAAGCATAAGCTTTAGCAACACTGAAGTTTAGTCATTTAAAAACATTACCCAATACTTATAGAATCGCCAATAATAAGGCAGCTGATTTTCCCTGGAGTTCTTTTCAATGGCCGTCCTGGTTTGCAAATCCGATCCGCTGGCCGCATCGCTGAATGAGAATTGTTAGTTCTCAGTGAACAGACAGAAGCCACAATGAGCAAACAAGACACAAGAAAGAAGCAGAAATTCATCTTACAGACGACTGCGTAGCGTTGGAAGAAGACAAGCGAGTAGGGGCACGACGATATCCGGTATGACTGTTATTTTATCTGTCACTTCAAGAACGGTTGATGATTAATCCCTAATTAAACTGATTGGTGGTTAAACTTTAACTTATCCTGTAGTTTTTGCCAGTTTTCTACCTGTGCTTTTCTTCTTTTTACGTTATGATTTGATTATACATGTGTAGAACTCATCTTTTTAGTTTTCTCTCGAAAAAGACATAGATAATAAAGTACGGTCAAATCTCTCGGTGGCCTCCGTGCGGAGTATTTTCAGCTGTATAACGGTCAGTCCACTTGGTGTTAACAGAACTAAACCACCAGTATTATAAAAAGAACCTTTAGTTTAGGCTAAACTCAGGCCCAATTAGGAATCAGGAAGCTTTGCGGCCAATCCGTTTTCAGACATTATGAGAAAAGGCTCTATATGTGCAAAGGGGTGCCCGGTGAGGATCCTTCTTAGGTACCGTGTGTGGGCACCAAGTGTGGAGGAGAGGATGAGCCAACATCCGGAGTCAAAATGTTATGGACATCGATTGGAGTGAAGTTCGAATAAAAAAAGTTAGCGATCCTTAACCCTAGCTTTAAACCCAAATAAAAAAAAATTCTCAATAGTTGCCCCCGTGCATATTCAGTAGAAGTGGCGAGAAGTATCAATGAAATTAATCTTCAATGTAAAGAAGATCCTCACGGTTCAAGTCGCAACCTATACAGTTGCGAAAAGAAGGCTTGAAGAAATTCAGCCTTACCTTCCCAACAAGCCAGAATTGGGAAGGCAAGCTTGAATGTTTTGAAGCCTTCAATTTTGTTTAGTCTTTTCTGCAGAAGGCTGCGAAAAAACTGCGAGGATCTTATTTAGAATGATTTCTTCATTCCGCGGTTCAAATATACGAATTTAATATCTTTACTGAAATTAATTTTGTGTGATCATATCCGTAATTCCCGTGACCCTTTCATTGCCCCGCGTCCAAAATACAAAATTAAATCAGGTTCATTCCTCACTGAATGAACGGGTTCGTACACTTAGTGTAGCATTAAAAAATTCCTTCATTTAAACTGTCGCTTAGTGCTACGTTTAGGTAAGTATCGCCGAGGTATAAATAGAGGGTCGTGAAGGGGTAAAATGGGAACTGGGATTAGCCTTATTGTGGAATGGGAAAATGAGATTTACTCACTGGGACTGGGATTTAGCCACTGGGAATGGGATGAACAATTATAAAATGGGAATGGGATTTCTTTTCTTCAGCGGTCTTTGCTCCAATATTTCGTAGCAATAGACCTTGCACTCCTCAGTAGAGACCGTGAAATCAGTATTGTTCGCCTTCGCGCCCGCGGTCCAGCTACCAGCTAGCAGTGAAAGCGGAGACAGTGAGTCAGACGAGGATTGTGCAGATGATAGAATTGGTTTTCATATGGTTATGTCAACAAGGGCTGGAAGAGAAAGAGAGTGTTCACCAGCAGAATGAGAGATTTTCTTCAGTCCAGGTTAAGGTACGTGTATCTAAATAGCGTCAATCAGTGCTTTTAATTTATTATGCGCATGATTTTGCAAATAATCATTAGTAATGGGATTTTACTGATTTGGTAACTGGGATTTTGGCAAAAATTAGTCTGGGAACTGGGATTTGGTACCCCCCCTTCACGACCGTCTAAATAGCAATACCATTTATGTATCGTCTAAAATCTTACCGTATACTTATGGAGCCGCCGATAATAAGGCAGTTGATTTTTCCAGGCCTTCTTTGCAGGGGCGGACCTGGTTTACAGTTTCGTTCAGCTGCCATCGTTGTTCGTTTGGGTGCTTGGTAGTTCTTAGCATTCAGTGAACAGACAGATACCAAAATGGACAAAGAGCATGCCAAGAAGTTAACGTTCATATTAAGTTCCTACTTTACAAAAAAATTTTCGAGTAAATATTGCCGGTGCAGATATGTCAAGTTATGAGTACAACGTTATAAGTTACCAATAAACAGAAAAATTCTGCCAACATGAAAAAACGGACGAATTAATTAAAAAAGAGAAAAAACTCACACTTATTGGTAATGCCTCGTCAATACTGTCTCGCCTTTTGATTCGTAGAAAAATAGAAAGGCGTCTCTTGTCTGTACAAACTGCATTACGGATAGAAAGTTTGAAATGGGCACGCAATGGGACACTTCAGCTAAACTGTAACCTTTTTCCTCTTATTTTAACCTTGAAATATTCGGAATTTTGTCCTTATCCCTCTCGTTTCCTTTACTTGGCTGGGAAACCCCAGGTTTTCTTCCTTTCTTTATTGTTGTTAAAAAAACACATTCTGTTTTCTCTAATCCTTTGATGTACGGCACATTTTTGCAGTGCCTTGCTGGTTGTCAAGGGACATTCATTTCATTTATTTTGTTCTTGATGAATGATTCAGTCTATTTTTATAAGCCATAAAGTTTGCAAATGATTTGAAACCACGGGTTTTCACTTGCGACGGAGTCGGAGTCGGAATCGTAAGCGGGGTCGTAAGAGCGCATATGACCTTGTGAAAATCAAAAATAGGAGTCATAAGCGAAGTCATAAGCGCAACGGAATCGGAGTCAGAACAGTTCCATTTTCTTCTGGCCCCGGTTGTTCACTATCCAGTAGACAAGTATTACAAAAACCGATTGCGTTATTCGCTGGATAGTGATTTATCCGGTGGATAGCGTTATCCACCTGTTAAACAACTGGGCCCAGAACTAAACCAATCAAAGAGAGTGGGAACTTGCATTACGATTGGTTTATTTATCCTTCTGCCTCTGTTCCCGACCCCGACAATCTGGTTTTCACTATAAGGGGAGTCAGAAGAAAATGGAAACGTCCTGATTCTCCCGACTCCTATTCCGTCGCGCTTATGACTCCGATTTTTGATAGTTCACTAGGTCATAAGCGCTCTTACGACTCCGCTTACGACTCCGACTCCATCGCTAGTGAAAACCAGCCCACTAAACTATTTTTGATACCCTGCAACAGACCTGGAACAAGAAAAATTTAAAATCGAAGCATCTTTGAGCGTTTTCACTCACGTAGCCAGCGGCTGTGTAAATTTATGTCGACAAAAGAAAGCGTATACATAAGAAAAGAGTTCAATTCCCACAGGATTGATTTGAGACACCAACATCGCCGCCGTTTTATTCTTTTAAGACACCAACAGGGTTCACACTCTTTCGAGCTCTTCAAATTCCATGACTTTTTCCATGACCTTTTTAAGTTTTCCAAGACCTTGGGTTTAGCTGTCACTTTCAAAAATTTTAAAAACTTCCCGTGTTTTAGGGTATTTTTGGATCTTAAAGAGTCAACAGACACAAACTCTGGTGTCCACCAAAATGCGTGCCGTTTGCCCAGTTCAATTGCTCCCATTTATCTTACATTGTCCTTGCCTTGTCATCTTCAGTAACGGATCTATCAAACAAAGCTTTAATTTTCATGACTTTCCAGAACCGACAATTCAATTCCACGACTTTCCAGGCCTGGAAAATGAAATGCTTAAATTCCATGACTTTCCATTTTTCATGACCTGTACGAACCTCGACCAACATGTTGGGCGTGACGTCATGTGCAAAGGCTCTATCCTTTTATTAATAGAAGCCCAACGCCTGTCTCCTACGTAAATCAAAATTATTAGGAATAATAATCGATCACAGTGAAAGGCTAGGAAATTTTTTTTCCTCTAACCCCACCCCCCTCCTCAAAGTCAAATGGTTGGCTCCCAGTTTTATTTGCGTACGCACATAAAAATTACGACACAGTGGAAACTCCACCCTAGATTGAATATGATCGTTCGCGTGTGACACTGCTGGCAGACACCGTCATTGCGTTTTTTGTTGTTATTAGACGAAAAGAAAAAAGCTAAATAAGAGTATTTTATTATACATGATTATTAAACTATGCATTCGGGTTAGGTTACAAAGTCTTCAAATCCGTCTTTTTAAAAACTTCTGACGGAAATTGCGCTAGCGTAGCAGATTGTTACTGTGGAGCAAGCTTGACAAAAAACGCCAGAGCAGAAAGACCCACAAAAACGAACAAATGTTTACTTAGAATGCTTGAATCGGTTATAAAGGTTGTTCAACGTACTCACTGGCATATGAAGACCTTAAGATCCGTTTTTCACACCGTCAAGATTATTCCAAATCGCTCAATGGCCGGACGGATTATCTGTCTGAGACGGAAAATCCGTCTTCAAAATCGGTCAAAGTTGACGGAAAAACAGATGAATAAAGTCAGGCAGATTGTTCATCCGAAATTAAGACCGTTCCATTTTCAAATTAAGACGTATTATCCAACGGATCATCCGTCTCTAGTGTGAAAACGGCTAATGTCTGTCGTACATGAATTTTCGCTGGAATTGGATTCTTAGGGACCTCACTCAAATTCTGAATTTGATTCAGAAAGAGAAGGAAAAAAATCCTTGTCTTGTCTTTGACGTATATTCTAAGTAACCGAAAATGAAATATGCATGGACAGTGCTGTCGTAACTTGATTTCGAAAGCATAGTAAAACCAAGATGTTATAACTGCCTTTAGGTGGATTCAAGACCAACATTGGTGTACCATATAACACAGTATTAAACCAATGTCTTGAGAATGAAAGCATAGTAAAACCAAGATGCTTTAACTGCCTTTGGGTGGATTTAAGACCAGTATTGGTGTACCATATAACACAGTATTAAACCAATGTCTTGAAAATGAAGGCTGCTCTGTCGCTACACCAGACCCCTCGGTTATCTTCTCCGCCTGTTCGGCATGCTCGTCTCCAGTCGCCTCCTTATCGATTTGATTTCCGGATTTTGAGCCTCGATCCGAAGCAGCCTCTATTTCCGGTACTTCGTCAGGTGGTTTTGGAAACTGTACCAGAGCTCGAACAGCCTCTCCTACTGTTTTGCTTGTCTCGAGGAGGCCTGAAAGATCAGCTCATTATTAGAATTTCAGTATATTGTATGCCTGGTTAGCTCAGATGGGAGAGCGCCAGTCTGCTGAGCTGGAGGTCGCGGGTTCAAACCCCGGCCGAACCAAAACTCAGGGTCTTTAAAT